GCCAAGACAGGGCAAACAATAGATGCTGCTTTGCATATATGTCTGTCAAATGTTCTGAGCCAGAAGGCTGAAGATGATGCTCCAACGTTGTAGTTTTGGGTGATTGTTCAGGCAGTAAACTGTCTCTGTTAATTTTTTATTTTTTTGGAAGCTGCTAACGTGTACTTCCTATTGACTCAAGTCACTAATTTTATTCCTTCTCAAGTCTCTGGTGGGATTGAAGACCAAATAGTTACAGTTCCACAATTAAGTTTAAGTTGTTTAGAATTTAAGAAAATGTTTGCATAAAGGTAATGCCAATAAGAATAAAAGTTAATTTAGGTATAGAACTCTAAACTTGTCAAGGTACGATAGTCAGATACTTTCTCCTAAGTTGCTAAATACACATGGACTGGACACTGCACATGTAAATCTTACCTAATAGTTTTCATAACTGTTTTATAATTGTTATTGTATTGAAAGAAAAGGAGCCTTTTATTGGACTTAAAGGGGGAAATGTTGGTATACTATTCTTGTGGAATATATACAATTTACCCTTGTTCATTCAAACGATGATATATCTACTCCACTATCTGGTTTTAGTCGGACATTGCATCCTGATGTTTATTCTAAGCATCTCCTGTCTCAAGTTTGTGTTCTCTGTATTGTCAATAAAACAACTAGGCAATGATGTGCAATGGAGAGAATAAGGTAGGACATTCTGGTCCAGAGGGGAAGAGAAGGAAGTGAGTGGGAGGAGTCGGAGAGGAGAGATCAGTAGGACAGGACTTGGAACCACTAGGAGAGACAAACTCAACCTAAGTTATGACTAAAAGCAAGTATAATGTGGGAAATCTGAATGGGAGGAAACTATGCAGGCTTGGAGGTTTAGGACGGAGTAACTATTGCCCAGCATTGTGCTCTAGGTTAATTAAATAAATCCTAGTCTCTGTGTGGTGATTTGGGTAGACAGCTAGTTTAGGAACAACCGCTGTTTAACTAAAAGATAAATTGATAGTAAATATTAATATTCAACAACAGAGAAGAAGGGACTGCCATGAAGGTGCCCCACTGTTGGGTCAGGAAAGAGAGGAAGAGGCATGATCTAAAGAAGGCCTCTGGCAGCTGGGAAAATTAAAATTCCCCTCCTCTGAAGAAAAATCCACATCTATGAACACCTTGATTTTAGTCAAATGAGACCCATTTGGATATCTGCCCTACGGATAATACATTTGTTTTGTTTAAAGCCTTTGGCGATTGTTACAGCAGCCACAGGAACTGGTACCTGTGGGAATCCATGCTGCATTGATGACAGGCCACACCATGCTCCCGGACGCTCCCGAAGTTGCCTCTCTAGCCTTGACTTCTCAACTTATTTCTATTTCAAAATCAGCAAAGAAAGGCTGGAGAGATGGCTCTGGCCGCTCCTCCAGAGTACCCCAGTGTGGTTCCCAGTATCCACGTGTAGCTCACAACTCTCTGTAACTCCAGTTCCAAGGGATCTGGTATCCTCTCTTGACCTCCGTGGGTACCAAGAATGCACATAGTGCAAAGACATACATGCAGGCAACACACCCATACACATTAAAAAAATAAATAAATAAAATTAATTTTAAAGTAGCAAAGAGTGGGCAGGCAAGATGGCAAGGTAAGGGTGCTTGCCAGTTGGCCTGGGGGGGTCCAATCCCAGGAACCCCCCTAGTGGAAGGAGAGAACCAACTCCTGCTAGAGGCTGTCCGACCTGCATCCATGCCCCATGACATGCACACACAAAACACTTTTTAAAATGTAACAAAAGGACAAGAGGAAAGTCTGATGTTCCTCCCGTGGAGCTCCTCCCACGCTTGGGAGTTCATTCTTATTTTCTGTCCTATCTCTGCCCCTCTGCTTGCTGCTTTTGTCTCTAGACTGACCTCCAACGTGCATTTGTGGTGAAGGTACAGCTTCCAAAGCACACATATTTTAATTCCTCCTATGTTTGCCCTCCACCAGGTTTAAAGACGGGAGGGGCCCCGGGCTTCACCGCCTCTCCCAGGAACTAAGGATAGCTGAATAAATGAAGGAAGCCTTTCTTGACAGTTCTCCAGGCTTGTGGGCACCGGGTAAAGTGTGTCGTAAACGCTGGGCTGGAGGAGAAACTGTCCTCGGAATTTAGCCTTTCGGAGTGGACCGGGAAGGGGCGGGGGCGGGGGCGGGGGCGGGGGCACGGGTTACACTCAGGTCACAGAGGCAAAGGCTGGGCTGATGTCTGGCAATGACCTCAGCGCTTGGCAGGAGATACACCCAGGCATTTCCTGGCAGCCTGAGTCCAGGCTTCTCCGGTCCCTTGCCTTACAGTGGCATCGCCCTGCTCTCCAGCGCCGCCTGGAGAGCCTTCGGAGTCACAGCGGGTCCTTCCCGCCCCCGCCCCCCGCCCCTCCCCCAGCTCCCCACCCCCTTTCCTAAAGTGCTCAGCTGCGTCTGGACCCTGGGGACTCCGTGAGAGTCTCACCGGGAAAGCCGGCTTCTGAGCCGGAGGAGAAATCAATTTAGGGGTTTTTCTCTGATGAAAAAGAACTTAATCCCTAAATCTAAAACACTCTAGGATATGGTTTAGTCTCACATCCACGGTCAGTTCAAGAGGAAAAAGTGAAAAAGAGAGAGAGAGAGAGAGAGAGAGAGAGAGAGAGAGAGAGAGAGAGAGAGAGAGAAACAGAAGATGAGAGGTAAAAAACGAAAAGAAGCCCATGAAAACCAGGAGGAAAAGGGCTGAGGCAGGGGAGAGACAGGTTGCCCACCCATCCACCACATTCCGGGACCCAAAAACAGTCCGGCTCCCACTCCCTTCTCTGCGCAGCTGGGAACTGTAGGTGAATTCTAGGGAGGCAGAAGTCAGCCTGCTGGTCACAGCTGCAGGGGTTCAAACGCCCCGAGGAAGCAGAAGTCTTGCGGCTGGGGCTCAGGACGCAAAGGGGTTAGAGCGCGGAGTAGAAGTACAGACTAGGACCGTCCAGGCAGGTTGTGAATCCTCTGCGTTTTCAGAGGGTGTGCTGCTCACATCAGAAAGCCTTTACTTCAGAATTCCCTGGCGAATAGTTCTCCCTCTCCCTCTTTCCCTCCACCCCCCCTCCTCCCTCCTCCGCTCTCTCAGAGACTTCTGTCTGCTGTGAACTCTGTCCCTAGATCTATTCTTTCTTTCTTTCTTTATTTTTTTTATATTTAGTCTCTTATTTTCATCTGTCTTTTGTTTGCCTATTAGCTCAATATTTTGCAGTGGTCAAATTGCCTATTCAATGCTTCGTTTCAACCTAACATCATTTTTTCCCCTATCCTTATTCAATATTTCATCATCTAAGACCAGAGTCCTGGCTTTGTGGTTTGCTTTTTGTTGAAAAGAGGCAATGTCCTTGGACTCCTATTGACCAAGCCAAATAAATACCTTGGAACATTTTCTACTGCAGAAGAAGGCGTCATCACCAAACCTTCTTTGTTTTCTTTTGTACCTGTGGGTTTTCCCTTAGGGTCCTGTCCTCCTGAATGTATGCCATGACACAGAAGGAGCTATAGTCTCTTAATGTGATGAATATATTTTATAGATCACAAGCCGAGAGCCATCACACCAGATGTTACATATAGCCAAGGCAGAAAGAAGAGGAAAGGGATATGCCAACAGTGTTTATCATTTTTCACCCCCAGGACAATATGAAGTCTCTCGGGAGCCCTTCAGGAAACCTCTAGTGTCCTAAATGCTGTTCCAGGGGCACCTCTAGCTATACCGGAGGCTGACAGAGCAAATGCTGAGTTCTTTCATAGGCGAACAAGAAGGGAAAAGAGTGGCAAAAAAGGCTAGGTTTCCAAAAGTTTCCCCTTTCCTCTGCAAACCCCCGGGGGGGGGGACCCCCCCCCCCCCCCCCCAGCTCTTCCCACACCCCAGACGAGCCTCCACTCTCTACAACAACAAGATGCTGCAAAAGTTCCTCCAGCTTGTGGCACAAAAGCTGCACCAGCCTTACACGCTCACTTCACTTTCCCCTCATTTGTATATTCGGCTGAGTGTTTTGTAGAGAGTTAGTGAGCAGAAAGGAGACGGAAGTGCCTATGTGTCACACCATGGGCGTCCTAAAGTTGACTGTAACCTATCAGTCAACAGTGGAGGGAGCCCTGAGGGGATGAGAATGAGGGCTAGCCTCAAGGGGAGGAAGGGCAGAGCACAGGGAGAAAGGAAGCAGTGGCTAGATCGTTAACATGATGGATGAGGCCCTGCAGCCCATCAGCTCGGAAAAGAATGGCCAGAGCTCTCCTCCTGGGCTCAAGGATCCTTCCATCTCTCTCTCTGCCAGGATGTTGTTTCTGCTTCCGTCGTCCTCCTCCTTTTTTTGATATTTGATTTTATTCTTAACAGCGATAACAGAAGTACATTTTAATAGCTCCCTTTTGTAAAAAAAAAAAAAAAAAAAAAAAAAAAAAAAAAAGGAGATTCTGTGTTTCCCTCCAGTAGGAGGAAGGGAAAAGCTCCCTTTGTAGCTGAGGGTAACCCGGTTCCCATGCCTCCATCTCCCAGGCATTCAGAGTACAGGCACATGCTGCCACGCCCTGCTAGGAAACCCGTTCCCAGTCATGAAGTTCTGGGCAGACGTGTCTCTGTGAACCTGAAACTAAAAGACTCTCCTCTTCAAAGTTAGCCTGGGCTACATAGTAAGTTCCGGAGCTATGTAGTGAGACAAACAAAACAAAACAACAAAAACTGTTTTCTCCGACTAGTGAGAGGAAAAAAAAAGCATCTCAAGGACTGAAAGGGCTCAGAAGAGGAGTGGAGCAGAATGGGAGCTGGGCAGGAAGCAGGGTTCAGGTCACCTGTAGAAACAGGCTCCAGCTGGTGGCCTTCTTTGGCCTGCCTGGAGAGCAGGGCTGCCCTCTCCTAGGCACTGAGGAGGTCCAGAGGGGGTCCCAGCCCCTCCTCTGACCACCATAATTGCAAGGAAAAGTGTCAGCCGAAAATAAAATGACCCTGTGAAGAACCCTGCGGAGTCCTCTGGTCATACCTGGGGCAGGAAGACACAGAAGTTCACGGTGGTTGTACAAACGAAGATCCCTCCAGACGTGAGTCCAAAGACCAGATTGGGCCAGGAGTGCAAGTATCTGGTGACTACGAAAAGCATCCCAGCAGTGAGCAGCAGGAGGTTGACTCCGAGCATGATGGTCAGGGACTGGTTCACCGGAGGAGAGCTGACGTGGTTGGTCAGGCCAGCCAGGTAAGCACCATACAGCAGCAGCAGGCCCTGCAGGAGGAGCAGGGGCCAGAGGCACAGAAAACAGGGACCATGGTCAAAGGGGTAGGGTTGGGGCCAGGGTCCTCACTGGTAACGCTGGGCTAATTGTATCTGCCTAAAGATCTGCTGTAAGCATCAGCTATGACACAAGTAACCAGGAGATAGCTCCCTACACCCGTGGCTTTGGAATGTTATCACTTCCCGTCCTTCACTCGGAGAGTGAGTTTATAGGAGTTCCACAGACAGGGTGGTGGGCACTAGGTGTCTGTGTGTGTAAGGGGTGTGCTACTTAGCCATTAAGACTTGGCAGTGAGCGAGCGAGTTGAGTCGAGCGTGGGCACTGAAAGTGACCCACAGTTTGCTTGCCCGGGCCTGTGCTACTATGGTAGGGCAGTGCCAGAGGGAGGGGAGTTGTTTGTTTTCCCAGGGCGCTCAAAGGCACCATCTGCTTGCCAAGCCCTGCACCTGCAAGGCGGCATCTGCCAGGAGGAACGCTGCTTTCTATTCCACACAAAGAACTCCATAGGCTGCCGGTGGCTCTGTGCGGGGGGGGCGGGGGGGGGTTCCTGGGAGGTGAAAGATGGAAAAAGAGGAGGACAAAGGCAGCCTGGGACCCGGAGGGGAGGCACAGGCAGCAAGCGCTACGTCTGAACTGCTTGCTGACATCCCCTGCCTCTACCAGGAACCCTGGGCCCTGGTTCTTTCCTTTCTTCACAGACATAAACCTGTCCTCCTGGTTCTCGCTTGTGCCAGGGAGGAAATGACGTGGTGCCCAACAGTGCTGCTTTTTCCAGAGGCAGCTGCGTCTATACAGAGGTCAGAGCTTTCATCAGCAACACTCGGTGCACAGATTCTGCACGCACTGGCCTTTCTGACTTACTCAAAGCACTATGCTACGAACCATTGCTACCAAGGACATTCACGGCCAGGCATGATGGGTGACCAGGCATCCCACACTGGTGAGGCCAAGGCGGGAGCGTTGCTGTGAGTTTGAAGCCAGTTCGGGGTACACAGTGAGACCCTGTGCTGGCTAGTCTTATGTCAACTTGACACACAAGCTAGAGCTATCTGGAAGGAGGGGACCCCTCGATTGAGAACATGCCTCTAAAAGATCCAGCCATAAGGCATGTTCTTACTTAGTGACGGATGGGGGAGGGCCCAGTGCACTGTGGGTGATGCCATCCCTGAGCTGGGGGTCCTGGGTTCTATAAGAAAGCAGGATGAGCAAGCTAGTAAGCAGCACCCCTCCACAACTCCTGCATCAGCTCCTGCCTCCAGGTTCCTGCCCTGTTTGAGTTCCTGTCCTGACTTCAATGGTGAACAACAATATGGAAGTGTAAGCCAAACAAACCCTTTCCTCCCCAACTTGCTTTTCAGTCACGGTGTTTCGTCGCAGCAGTGGAAACCCTAAGATGGACCCTGACTCAAAACAACAATGGCAGTTAACAACACGAAGGCAACAGCAGCAGGAGGAGCAGGCCTGGCTGATAGGGAGAGTGGAGGAAGCAAGCCATGCCCTGTCTATAACTGGAATGTATAGATGCCATTGGGTATGAGGTAAGGCTGGGAGCTGAGGGGATTTAGGAAAGCCAGGCCAGGTGTCCTGTTGACTCTGAGATCATGTGACCCGGCCAACTCCACCTCCAACATCCAAGGGATGACTTTTGAAGCTTTGGCTCTCCTGGAGGGGAAGGAATCAGTGTACAGAGGTGCTTCTGATGCCCAGTGTTCCAAACGGGGGTAGAGGCTCAAACCCAGTCACCTTGGGATCTTCACTGAGTGGGACACAAGGAGAGGCCTGTGGGGCCTGACTCGTGGCTAACTGGTGCCCTCGAGCAGCATTCAGCACTTGGAGCATTAGTAGTTTTATCAAAGGTGCCTAAAATTCTGTTGACTCTGAAAATGTTAACTCTGATTTTTAATGGAACAGTTTGATTCCAGTCAGATTCTTGATAACAAGGGAAACGGGTGTAAGGGAAGCTATTATACCTGTGGCTACTACTGCTTGAGGGTGTCAAACCTGAGTTTTGTTTATCATCTAAGTTTGGTCAGCAAAGGTGAGGGTCAGCTGCTGGCTGGCAGGGGCCCAGAGGAGTTGGCTCAGCTAGTCACTGATAGTGGAAAAAAAAAAAAAAGAGCGGCGGGAATTCGCAGAAGGCAAGGGTTGGGGGGAATGTAGGGCGGCAGGGGGCAGGGGGGGGGGGGGAGGTGGAGGATCAGCTCTGGGATCTAAGAACCGAGGCGACCTAATGCTTCCAGAACTACCCAGGGCCAAAGGCAGAACCAGAATAATAATAAGATGTAATATTCTGGAGCCCTTGCTAAGGGCAGGGGTGGCTGGGAACTCTGGTGTGTGAATTCTAAGCAGCTAAGAGATGCTCTCAGGGGCTGTCATCACTGTGCCTAGTTGATGGAGTGATGGCTCTGAAAGAGAAGATGAGGTTGACGTTCAGCTAGGAAGGGCCCAGGGCAGAATTCAGCACCATTCTGTAGCACAGGGAGGTTTGCTTCCTAATCCTTCCAGGATACAAGGGAGCAGAGGCTGTTTGCTTCCTGAATTCTTCTTAAAAAGAATATATATATATATATATATATATATATATATATATATATATATATATATGCCAATTACAATGGCTCTTGCTGTGAGTCCAAGTCCAGCCTGGCTTACACAGTGATTGAGATCCATGAGGATTACATAGCAAGACCTTCAAAAAACAAACAACCTCCCTCCCAGGCCACCTTCCCCAGACAGAAAAACAGACCATAATATGAGGGAACCTGAATTCCCTGTGATTTGTGGGTAGACTGAATGAGGGTGCATGAGGAACTGTCGGTGTAACCCCCCCCCCCCAATATAAACAGTAGAGAAACAAAAGGTTCACAGCTCTGGGATTTCTGTCTCACCCCACGTTGGCTCTGAGGCTCGCCATACTCTGTTGTCACTATCCATGAATGTACCTCACCAATTCCCTAATTCTCTTTCCAAATCCATTTTGCTGGAGACAGACTGTAACCCATGAAGATGTGGTTACCAACCTTGCATCCCAAAACCAGGGCGATCCAGACATCCGGGTACCGTGAAGCACAAAAGTGTGTGTTGGTCAAAGAGCAGGACACATCTCTCCCCGTCACCTGTGAGGGACACAGGGTCAGAGCCAAGGGCATTCAAGTTCCTGGGACCTCACAGCGGAGCTCTGGGATCTTCCCAGGAGTGTGAATTTCCCTCCTCCGTATGTAAAAACGGAAATAGGTAGGCGACTCGGTTAGAGCCTAAACCAGAGTGCCTGAGCAGGAGGGAAGGAGAGAGAGGTGGGTGACTAGCAGATGTTGGGCTTGCTCAAGGGCATGGGCATTGCTACCACAAGGCCCCTCAGTAAAATTATGAGAGTATTTCACACCGTGAACCACTCACTGTTGGCAAACAGCCAGATCCTTATTTGCCTACCCTTGCTGTATTCCTCAGCCCGTCTGACCAAATTATTTCTATTATACCGGAGCGAGCCTAGCGAAAGAGCCAGTACTGCCATCTCTGCATCACCCCTCCCTCTGGAAAGGAGACTTAGAGTGGGGTTCTGCGGCCTTCCCTCAGGGGCATTCCACCTTCGTCTCTCAAGAGGGTGGGGAAGGCAACTCCCTAGAGCTGAGAATTCTCATCAGTGACTGTGCACTGACACCTGGGAGGGCGCCCACGGGAAGACTGGGGGCACGTGGAGCATTGTGGGTAGCAGTACAGTGTGCAGACAGGGGGTGGAGTGCTCAGGGCAGCCTTGGCCCCTGACTTGTCTGCCGGACAGTTCCTCAGTAGGCGCTTCTGAGATGATGACCCTGTGTGTGATGGAAGCCAGCCCAGGCCAGGGATCAGGTTGCCTAGAGACAGGCAGGCCCTCACCTTCATGCTGACACCGAGGATCTGGAGGCACTGGATGGGATCGGTCAGCACCCATGTCACGAGCAGAATGACATCAGCCACCACCAAGGCTGCCACCAACCCCAGCAACTGCAGGTCTTTGATAATCTGCAAAACAATCAAGGTCAAAAAAAAAAAAAAAAAAAAAAAAAAGTCTCCTTGTTTGCTGGCTGTAGAACTCAGGTGCTAGAGTGTGTCCCCGTGCTCCGAGATACGGGTTATGGCAACAGCCTTCTATGGGAGCCTCAAATGCAACCAAAGACACCCCCACTGACCCCTCCCCCCTCACAGTTAGGATGGCAAGACCGAATGTTCTACAAGCCTGTTCAGTTATTGTTACTGTTACCAGGAAATATTTCCACTTCTTTAAGTTTTGTTTGTTTTGCTTTGTTTTTCAAGACAAGGCTTCTCTATGTAGCCCTGCGTGTCCTGAAACTAGCTCTGTAGACCAGGCTGGCCTCTGATCCACCTGCCTCTCCCTCTGAGTGCTAGCATTAAAGGCATGTGCCCAGCTTTTTTTAAGGTTTTGATTTTCTACGTTTCCTGGCAAAGGTTTCAAGGGGGTCACATAGGGGAAGTTCGCTTTTATTGCTATGTGTCTCTGTGAGCGCACAAAGGTGGAGGCTCTACCCTCAGGCTTAGCCATTAACTCAGAGCCCGGACTGAAAGACAGAGGGTTATTAATAGCTTCCCTACAATTTGACTAGTATGATGAACTATTCCTTCTATGGCAGTCTTAAATTGATTATGACAATTTAAGAAAAGATGTATAAGGAGTGTACCTAACAAGCTTAACGAAGTGTACCCCAAACAAGCTTAACGAAGGACTGGGGAGGGGGGTTGAGGGGGGACTGTGCACAGCATTTGTGAATGGGGTAGAAATGTCGCTTGATGTTCCCCCCCACGCCTTCAGTTTTGTATTTTATTAATTTTTTTTCATACAGTATATTTTGATCATATTCTTTCCCCACCCCGAGTCCTCCCAGATCCTCCCTCCCTGTCTAACTGCATGACCTTTCTTTCTCAAAAACAAAACAAAACAACCCCCCCCCCATGAAACCCCAAGCAAACAAAAAACAAAAGCAAAGCCAGGAGGAGGCACACACCTTTAATCCCAGCACTCAGAGGCAGGCAGATCTCTGAGTTCAAGGCCATCCTGTTTACAGACCAAGTTCCAGGGCAGCTAGGGCTACACTGAGAAACCCTGTCTTGGGAAAACAAAACAAAAGCCAAACCAACCAAATCAAACCATTTCCTCTCCCCCCCTCTCCAAAAAAAAAAAATATCTATATCTATATCTATATCTATATCTATATCTATATCTATATCTATCTATCTATCTATCTATCTATCTATCTATCTATCTATCTATATATCTCAAAACAAAACCAAGAAAATACATTCCATTTTGTGTTGGCCTGCCCAGGAGAGTTGATATACCCAGTGACACTCCATTCATTAGAAAAAGCTGCAAAGAGCTTCTTGGCTAGGGGCGGGACCCTTTACCCACTTTTTCTTCTCTGTGCTAGTACCTCAAACCTGCCTAAGTCCTGTGTGTGCTGCCACAGTCTCTGCTAGTTCCCGTGTGTCTGTCCTGTGCCTTAGAAGACACTTGTTTTCTTTGGGTCATCCACCACCTCTGGTAGGTGGTTGGTCAGCCATAACATCTATGCCACTAAAGCACGGGGACATCTTGCAGGCCAGTCCTTGTTGAAGGCCACAGAGCTTGCTGCTAGGCGATGCTGACGCATACGTTTCTTCTCTGCTAACTCGAAAAGTACCCTCCAGCACCACGAGCGCGCGCTAGTCAGTGGGGGTGGAGCTTCCAGTTGGGCACCAGCTCATTTTCCCCATGTTCAGTGGCATCAGTAAGTTGTGCCTTCAGCAACAGGGTCTTGCCACCCGGTATGGAGACCAACCAGCAACCTTGGCAACAGCCGGTGATTTGGAGGGACTCCCTTGACCAACAACTCAACACTATGTAAGCTCATTCTCGGCATTGGAGGTTTTACCGGGTGGCGTAAGATATCTAGTGGGGCATTCTCTCTCCATTATATGGTGGCCACATATATTATGTATATATGTATATTATACATAAGATTCTAATATACATATATTATGTATATGTGTGTGTGTGTGTGTGTACAGCTGAATAACATTTTCATTATTCGTTCATCGTTGATGGACATCTAGGCTGTTTCCAATTTCTGGCTCTTACAAATAGGACAGCACTGAGCGTGGATGAGGAAGTATCTCCGTGGTAAAATGTAAAATCCTTTGGTATATGCCCAAGAGTGGTATAGCTGGATCTTGCCGTAGCTCGATTTTCAGCTGGTGAGGAAGCTCCATGGTGGCTGTACCGGTTTGTACTCCCATGGCAGTGAATAAGTGTCCCTCTTTTCCCATACTCTTGCCAGTACGTGCTGTCATTTGTTTTATTGATGTTGGCTATTCTTACTGGAACAAGATGAAATCTCTAAGTATTTTTAATTTGCATTTTCCTGACAGCTCAGGATGTTGAACACTTTTTCAAGTGTTTCCAAACCACTTTTGTTTGATCTTTTGAGAACTCTGTTAAAGTTCTATACCCCATTTTTAAAGTGAGTTATTTGTTTTGATACTCTGGCTTTTTTACAAGAAAGTTATTCATACACTCTAGATAACTAATTCTCATCAGGTGTATAAGTAGAGACTTTTCCATTCTGCAGGCTTCTGCTTTGTTCAAATGATGGTGTCCTTTGCTGTACAGAAGCTTTTAGCTTCATGAAGTCCCATTTATTAATTGTTGAACTTTTTTAAAAACTTATTTTTATTGTATTAATGTTTTATTTCTATGTCTATGTGAGGGTGTTGGATCCTGGAGTTACAGACAGTTGTGGGCTGCCATGTGGGTGCTGGGAATTGAACCCAGGTCCTCTGGAAGAGCAGCCAGTGCTCTTACTCACTGAGCCCCAATTGCTGATCTTAATGCTTATGCCCTCAGTGTCTGGTCCTGTGCTAATGATTCAATCCTGTTTCCTACTTTCTCTTTACCAGATTCAGGGTATCTGGTCTCATGCTGGGTCATGTGCTTGATCCATTTGGACCTGGCTTTTGTCCAGGGTGATGGATATGGTAGGTCCATGTTCTTGACAGCCACCAAATAAAAGCAAGCCAGTTATAACTCATGGTGTTCACAAGAGCAAGATAAACCCAGTGCTTAATCAAGTTGCTCGGAAAAGAAAGTGCTGCTAGCAATCAAAGGGGAAAAGGCACACTGTTTACTGAGGAGCAAAGATAAAGACATGTAAGGCCATTTCTCTCCATATAAGGCCAAGTGAGAAGACAGCGGGAGAAGGGCATCTTCAAAGTATGAAAACAAGAAGGAGACCTTTAGGGGCTGGGGTACAGCTCAGTGGTAGGTCCACCGAATAGCATGAGCAGGGTCCTCACCCCATCCCCACACCACACAACAAGCAAATGGCAGTGTCTCTCTTGGAAGCAGCTAAAATAAAGACTTTTTCAGCTCCATTAAGCTGAAAGAGTTTGGCACATGTGCGCCCACACTTGAATGTTTTTATTCTTCAGATAAAAGGAAATGATACCGAATAAAAACCAGGATAGAAGGCTCAGTGTGGCTGCTCGTGCCTTTAATCCAGCACTTGGGAGGCAGAGGCAGGTGGGTTTCTGTGAGTTCTAGGCCAATCAGGGCTACATAGTGAGACTTTGTTTCAAAAAACAAACAAAAAATGTATACAGGAAGTTAAGAGTATGTGTCAACTACATAGGAAAAGAATTGATTTATTTTTACTAAACACCTTTAAAAGAATGTCATTTAATAGAAATCATGACAACTGAATGGGGTTTATAGTACATGTAAAAATGAAGACAGTAATATAAATTTTGGGATAGGAAGAAGTAGAAACACACTGTTTCAGAATGGTTATCCTTTGGCAGTGAGAAGAACATCACAGTTTTACAGCCTTATACAAGCACTCTAGAAAGGGAGGAGAAATAGCTCCAAGTCGTTCTACAAAGTCAGGATTACCCTGATAACCAAACTAGGCAAATATACTACAGGAAAAGAAAACTACAAAGCCATATCCACTAAAAGTGTAAGCGCAGAAATTCAAAGGAAATTTTTATACAGAAGAAGCTACCAAATACAAGGAGCATAACACAACATGACCGGCTTGAATTTATCTCAGGCATGCAAGTCTGATTGGGCATTCTACAATCACCACCAGATGAATAGACCAAACAAGAAAATAATATGATAATTTCAATAGACATGGAAATTTGATATAAAAAAAAAACCCAACAACATTGACAAAAATTCTCAGGAACTGAAAGGGTTAGACTAACTTTGTAACCTGTATGTCTTCTAAAGCCTATAGCTTTGAGTTTTAGGTTCAGGTTAAGCTAAAGACTCTTAGTACCTTTCCAGAGAATGGAGGAATGTGACCCTATCTGTGAGGACAGATATAAAAAAAAAGGCAAGCAAGCAATGACCTTCACTCAGCAAAAAAAAAAATGACCAGACCCTTGTCTTTGAGATAGCATTTCTTAGCAACGAACCCAGACTTCTTCTGAGTAGCTTTTGACCTGCAGCCAAAAGTCTGCAGCCCCTAATCTTCAAGGATGAGCTAACCACCCCCACCTTCAATTGCAGCTGCATCCACACTTGGCAGGACTGGCCAAGCTTGAGCACCTAAGACTGACCAATTATCTTACTTTATAGCTTCCTTATCCAATCCTAAATTGCCAAGACTGCAACTTCAAATCTCCTGCAATTTTTCTTTTAAAAACCTAAAGGCCTTTGTCTCCAGGTGCCACTCTTTGCTGACCGGCATGGGTGACCCCATTATACAATGGTTAATAAACCTCTTGCTTTTGCAATGAGTCTTGTTCTGGGGCAGTTTCTGGGAAGGGCATGATCTTAAACTCCTGAGCTGTGAGACCCCAGGTCTTAGAGATCCTAAGAATAAAAATGAAACCTTCCACAACTGGAAAAACAGATCCTGTGAAACTGCAGCTGACATCATGTTTTTGGTTCTTTAAAATGTTTTTACGACCATACATTAATTATATACAATATTGCATTATAATTATACAAAAATGCAATTCATTATAGGTTTTCATATATATGAGAGAAAGAGAGGGAGTGACAGGATCTTGCTCTGGCTGGCCTCAAACTCACCATATCCCTGCCTCTGCTTCCCAAATGCTAGGATTACAATGATAAAACATGGTACCCAATTCATGCTTAGCATGGAAGGACTGAATGCCTTCCCCATCAGTCAGGAATAATTGAAGGAGGCTGGACAGATGGTCCTTCCTTAAGAGCACTGGCAGAGCTTAAACTCCTAGCATCCATGTTGGAGGCTCACAAACTTGTGCAACTCCAGTTCCAGGGGATCTGACACTCTTTTCTGGCCTGCTTGAGCACTGCACACACACAGTGCACAGACATACAAGCGGGCAGGTCATAGGTATTTATATAAAATAATAATTGAAGAATAGTTTGCTCTTATCACCCCAATTTAAAATTGTACATGTTTTAAAACCAGCCCTGGAGGGGAGGAGGGGCTGGAGAGATGGCTTAAAGGTTAAGAACACTGGCTGTTCTTCCAAGGGTCCTGAGTTCAATTCCCAGCAACTGCATGGTGGCTCACAACCATCTCTAGTGAGATCTGGTGCCCTTTTCTGGCATGCATGTCTACATGAAGGCAGAAAACTGTATAAATAATAAATAAATCTAAAACAAACAAACAAACAAACAAAAAACAGTTTTACCAGACAAGAACTTTTTTTCACAGGCCATATGATATCTATACTGAGACTCTGATGGAGTCTATTTAAGTTGCTGGAATAGTCATCAGTGGCAGCACCTAAGATCTCTGAGTCTGAGGCCAACCTAATCTACAAAGCTAGTTCTAGAACAGTCAAGACTACACAAAGCTAGGTGTGGTAGCACACACCTGTAATCCCAGCACTCAGAAAAGCAGAGGCAGGCAGATCTCTGTGAGTTCAAGGCCAGCCTGGTCTACAAAGCCAGTCTAAGAGAAACCCTGTCTCAAAAAAAAAAAACGGGGAAAAAAAAAAGACTGCAGAGAAACCTTCTCAAAAAACAAACAAGTTGCTAGAGAATATGCATAAGGCAGAATGACTGTTATTCTGACATTTTGGAAGCTGAGACAGGAGAGTCACCATGAGCCTGAGGCCAGCCTAGACTACATAGGTCAGCCTGAGACTGTCTTAAAAAAAACAAAGCTGCAAACAAAAATGAAAAAATCAAGCCACTAGAACTAATAGGTGATTTAGAAGGTTGCAAGATCAGCTTCCAAACCCACCCATTTGTCTGTACCCAAGCAGAGACCAACTTTAAAAGCATAATTTACAAAACAGTAGACCATACAAAGGATAACAACTTGGGAAGATATGTCAGAGACCTATGCTGAAATAGATACAACATTGCTGAGTAGCATTAATAAAAACCCAAATAACTAGAGAAATGTCCAGGAGTCATGGGTCGAAAACTAACGTTGTTAAGGAATCAAGTCACAATCATTTGTTCTTAGATTCACACCATATCCAGTCATAATCCCAACACGGTTTTTACGCAGACTGACAAACCAATGTCAGAACTAACTTAAGAGCTGGTGAATTGGCTCAGCAGGTAAAACTGCTACCAAACCTGATGCCCTGAGCCGATCCCCAGGTCCCAAATGATGAAAGGAGAGGACCACACAAGCTGTGGCAATTGTACCCATTCTTTCTCTCTCTTTTACACACACACACACACACACACACACAAATAAAAAAAACAACCAAAAATTTCTAGAAGTAAATCCAGGAGAAAAAAATTTGTGCCATTAATTAAGCAAACATTTCTTCCTTTTTCTTTTTCTTTCTTTTCTTTTTTGAGATAGGGTTTTTCTGGGTAGCATTGGATGTTCTGGAGCTCTGTAGGCCAGACTGACCTTAAACTCACAGAGATCCACTTTCCTCTGCCTCCAGAGTGCTGGGATTAAAGGAGTACGCCACCACCGCTGGACCAAGCAAACATTTCTTAGACTTAATATCCAAAGCACAACACACAAAGCGTAAGTTAGCTCGGGAGTTGAATTACAGACGGTGCCTACAATCTGTAATCCCAGTCCTCAGGAAGCAGCGGCAGGCAGACCTCTGCAAATTTAAGACCAGCCAGGTCACGCCTACTGACTTCCAGGCAAGCCAGGGCTACATCGTGAGACCTTGCCTCAGAAACAAACAAACAAGGTTAAGTACTCACTTACCATATGAGGCAACTGTTCTACTCAGGTTTTGAGCAAAGAGAAATGGGAGCATGTACCCATGCAAAGATGTGTACATGAATGTTCACGTCATCTTTATCTGTATTAGTTCCAAACTAGAAACAACTCAAACTCCATCAGTGGGTGAACAGATCAATGTACAGGGCTGGAGAGGTGGCTCAGAGGTTAAGAGCACCGGCTGCTCTTCCAGAGGTCCTGAGTTCGAATTCCCAGCAGCCACAGGGTGTCTCACAACCATCTATAATGAGATTTGGCGCCCTCTTCTGGCCTGCAGGCACACATGCAGGCAGAATGTTGTATACATAATAAATAAATCTTAAACAGAATAAACAAGAGTAGCCACTGCATGGTTCCCAGCAGGCCTTCTTCCCGCTGAATATGTCCCCAGCAGCTATTTTTTGTTTTGTTTTTTGAGACAGGGTTTCTCTCTGTAGCCCTGAATACACTGGAACTTGCTCTGTAAACCAGGCTGGCCTCAATCTCACAGGGCCACCTGCCTCTGCCTCCAGAGTAAATGGGATTAAGAATGTGCTTGGGGAAATTTTTTTTTTTTTTTTTTTAAGATTTGTTTTAAGAAGTTGGTTAAGAGCTTGTTGGTTAAGAGCACCGGCTGCTCTTGCAGAGAATCAGGGTTTGATTCCCAGCATCCACATGGTGGCTCTCAAAACTATGAGTAACTGCAGTTCTGGGGGGGTCTGATACCCTCTTCTTACATCCTAGGTCCCAGGCACACACAGTGCACACACATACAGGCAGGCAATACACACACACATGAAATAAAATGTCTAAAATTTGTGGTTTTTTTAAAGATCTACTTTTAGCTTTAAAGTATGTGCACGTGAGCATTGTGGGCAGATGTGGCACACACCCAACACAGGTGCTGGGAACCAGCTCCGTTCACTGCTGAGCTATCTCTCCAGCCCACGATTCCAAGTATGTGAAACTCTGAAAAGTGAAAACTAATCTTTAATGTCCGAAAGCAAAACGGTGACGGAATAGAGCGGGACAGTTGAACGATGAACAGGGAAACAGACTGGGGATGTTGAGGATCTGGGGATGGTGGAGTTTGCTAGGTCACAGGTTTCAGGCGTGTACCCATGATTTAAGACATAACGTCACACTTCGGTTTTGTTGTTCTTGTTGTTTGTTTTTCTTGGGGCGAACTCAGTCGCCCACTACCACAAATTAGGCAGTTGAGTTTCCTCAAAGAGCACACGCCAAGTGTGAGGGGGTAAGTAAGCCACACGCTGGAAAAACCACCTTTCTGATCATGATGTCTACCCTGCCAAGTAAATATCATGTCACACTTTTTGTTTTTGTTTTTCAAGACAGGGTTTCTCCGTGTAGCCTTCCCTGGCTGTCCTGGAACTCACTCTGTAGATCACGCTGGCCTCGAACTCACGAAGAGCCATCTGCCCCTGCCTTCCAAGTGTTGGGATTGAAAGCATACGCCACCACACCTAGCTCATGTCACACTTTAAATGTGTCTTTCTTTCATGTCAGTTATCCCCCAAGAAACCTATTTTTGATAAGGATATTAAAAGGGATGAATTCTGTCCTTTTGGCCAACTCTCTGCATCTGTGTGTGGTTGCTCACAGCTGAACTTTCGCTGAGTACTCACCGTGATTTAATACCATGTGGTTTTTTTGTTTTGTTTTTTTTGTTTGTTTGTTTTTTTAAATAATTTATTTAATTTTATTTTATGTGCATTAGTGTGAAGGTGTCAGATCCCTTGGAATTGCCGTTAACAGACAGTTGTGAGCTGCCATGTGGGTGCTGGGAATTGAACCTGGGTCCTTTTGGAAGAGCAGAGAGCACTCTTAACCACTGAGCCATCTCTCCAGCCCCTACCATGTGGTTTTTAAAATCCCGTCGTTACCGAGAAGTAGCCGGACAGAATCCGTTATGAGGTCTGAACAGTCATATCAGGGAATTTGACAAGATGGAGGAGCATGTTTATAAATCCTGCATGTCAGAGACACGCTGGTGTAACCTGGCTGCTGATGGCTTCCACAGTCAGTTCTGCCCACAGAGTCCGTTTTCCTGCTCACTGCTTTAGCTGTGCCTTTCAGAGTGCAGAGAACTGCCGGAGTGGAAGGGACCTGAGCTCTAAGGAGAGGAGGAACTGTGCTCCTCTGCACTCACTCTTCCACTTGCAGCTCCCAGTCTGTCCCTCCCAGGCATTGGCTGGCTCACCGGTTCCCATGGTGCCCGGGGTTGGGTGTACCTAAAATCACCCATGTTCAGAGATATAGCTGCACTCACGCTCAGCCCTGTATTTCTGGGCCTTTACGAAGCCATGAAGGGGTGAAGCACTAGGGCTGAGCCAATGGGCAAGAATCTCAGGCACCCAGGAGATTTGCACTAACCTCCCCAGCTCTGAGCCACTGTGGAGCTCCCATTGCGACCCAGCATTGCGACCCAGCATTGTGCACCGGCTGCCAACTCACCACTCTCTTGTCCGGGACCCTCTGGGTGAACACTCTATACAGTCGCCAGCTCTTCCCCAGAACAGAGCCAAACACAAGCGACGTCCCAATGCACAGCATGGAGAGTCTCATCTGCAGGTGGAAGAGGTCAGGAGGGAGAGTCACTCTCGGAGCCTTCATCCATCTGCAACGTCTCGGGCCCACGGAGGACACGGGGCAGAGAGTGGGCCTCGCTGAATATGTTGGTAACACAGATACAGAACTACCAGTCACAGGAAGGGCCGTGAGCACCGAATGCTATCCAAAAGGTCACCTACCTGAATGAGAGCTTCCATGGACCTCCCCACCGCAGCATCCTGAATCCCAAAAAGATAAGCGCTGCTGTAAGTCAGACAGCTGCCCAGCAAGGTCACAATGTTCAGGTTGGGGCTGGACATCTTCACGATCCTGGGAGGAAACAGGAAGGAGTGACATAGCCACGATGCTGTGCACTGATGTCAAAAAACTTACCAAAGCAGGACTCCTTTCCCGGGATGGTCCCAGAATGAGGGGTGACCTTCCCGGCCACTTTGCTGCCCTCTGAGAAAGTTACGGTTTATTTACATTCATTTAAAATAACGACATCCTATTTCGTTTTATATTGCTTCATTTTCTTTTTTGTGGTAGGGCCTAATGTAGCCCAGGCTGGCCTTGAACTTGCTATGATGCTCTCCCTGGACCGGCGGACTCTCCTGCCTCTACCACCCCTGTGTTGGGACTGCAGGCATGCATCAACAAGTCTAACTTTTAGAAAGCGATGTACAAGTTTTATGTTTATGGGGGTTTTCCCTGCACATGTGTATGTATGTCACATGTATGCCTAGTGTCCGTGGAAGGCCAAGAAGAGCGTTGGATTCCTTTAGGAGTGGAGCTATGGATAGTTGAGAGCCGACAATGTGAGCACTGGAAACTGAGCCCTGGGCCTCTGCAAGATCAGTGAGTGTTCCTAACTGCCCCACTGAACCATCTCTCCAGCCCCACTGGCTTTTTTTTTTTTTTTTTTTTTTTTTTTTTTTTTTTTTATGGACCCTAAATCCTTGTACCTCTTACTAATCTAACTCACAGTTTTACAGGAAGGCTGACTGCTGACACACAGGTGACAATGGAGAAGAAGTAGGACTTTGTCAGTGAAGTTTAGTGCTGTTAAAGGCCAGGTCAGCGTGTGTAAACCAGTAGTAGCAGGTACCCAGGGAGACAGGGTGGGGCTTGCAGAGCTGAGCTGCAAGGGAAACTACTCTTTTGGAGAGAGGTCAGGAGTGTTCACACACACCATTTATTAGACATTCAAATTGCTTTTCTTTCCTTACGTGACTGAAAAGAGGGGAAGCAGAGATGGAAAGCAGGCGGGTCTTTCCTAGGAGCAGGGCAAAAGGAAGTTAGCGGGTAGCAGAAGGCTAGGAGGAGAATGTGGCTCCTGGGGTCTCAGGCACCAGCCGGGGTTCAGGACATGAATTAACCTAATGGGTAGGTATATAAGATTTACCCTGCCATCCCCAGGAGGTAAGCTTCCATGAGACCAGGACTCGGAGCCCTCTTCCATTTGCCTCTTTGCAAACTCCTACACATAAGCAATGGCCCTCTGAGGTTGCCCTTCCCACATCGGGCCCGCCGGGGCCTTATAGCTGCACATCTGTGTTGTATACATCGCTGATGGGCAGCTGCAGCTCTGATCTGCACCTACTCATCTGAATAGCACAGTTTGGTCTCATTTGCATGATCCAGTGTTGCATGAGTCCTGATTTGGAATTCTTCCTCGTTCTGATTCAGTGAAGAGGAGCCAAGTTTAATTTTTTTTTTTTTTTTGATGAAACAGGCATTCTCTCCAGTTCACATCTCAAGCACTCATTCAGATAAACGTGCCATGGAGCCAGACGCACATTTTTTGTTAGTTTTCTTGAGAAGTTTTACTGACGGTATCTCCAAAACAACAACAACAACAAAATGAATAGGAAATGATTAACCTGTCTTGTTTGGCTGAGTAACACCTGGGAAGCCACTTCCGTGTCAATCAGCTCTGATTGAGTAGGTAAATGACTTGTCTGAAGACCGTCTTTGCCTTGTTGGGAGGTATTCAGCCACCATGTCATTCTTTCTACCGAACTAAAGGCTGAGCTCTACGGAGCTGTAGGTTTTCATTCACCCACAAACAGGCAGGCGTTTTCACAAACCTGGGATATTTCAGTGTTTAAATACTTAATTGTAATTATGTGGCTTGCTTGTAATTATGTGAAGCGTTAAAAGTGTAGCCTGGGTGACTGGCACTCTGAAATAAGGTGGGTTTATTTCTTTTCTTTTTGGGTTATATAACAATCTCTCTCTCTCTCTCTCTCTCTCTCTCTCTCTCTTTCTCTCTCTCTCTCTCTCTCTCTTTTCTCCCTCTTCCTCTTCATTTATTGGCTGGAAATGCCAGGCAAGGATATTCTCAATTTTTTGACTGTCCAGTAAAGTCTCAGCAAATGTAAATAAAGAGCTGGAGAACTTGTTTAATCCTGCATAGTCACTCCAGTAGTTTAGTGGACTCCCATGGCCGTGACACCCTCCAGCTCTCACACTGGCCTGTGAGCTAGGGAACTTTGAGTTACTAAATTTGGAAACATGGTTCAAGGTTGGGGAGGGTAGGGGTGGGGGTGGGGGTGGGGGTGGGGCATATCCTGGCAGTCTATGGCCTTGGCCATCTATGCTAGACTAGAAGGAAACCTAACCACTGAGCTATCTTTCCAGCCCCTGTCGGTGCGTTTCAGCATACCTGAAAACACGTATAGGGGTCATTCACAGCTCTGCTGTAAAACAACAGACTCCGATTCTGAGAATCTTCCTGCGAAAGTCACTGCTCTCGGTCTGTGTTACAATGGGATTATAAATCTACGGCATGCCAAACTCCAGCTTAATTATATTGTCTGGCGTGGTGTCACAGATCTGATAGCTTTGCTGTGCCCATTTCCAATGTCTGAGTTAATCAATTCAAACTCTGCATGCCTCACACTAATTCTGGGGTGAGCATTTGTGCTTCCGCTCTGCATTGTCCTGCCCCTTCACCCCATCCAGGCCTCCTTAGAGGACCACCCAGAGAGACCAACGTAACCTTTCCACTTCCTAAGTCCTTTAATCATGATGGTGTCATTTTACTTCACCTCAGGGTCTCTGGATCCTGTGTCTCATCATTTGAAACAGTTCTGCCTCCAGGAATCTTAAACATAACCATGCTCCCCACACCTAACCCCCTCAATTGAGGTGGGGTCTCCCTGTGTATCCCTGGCTGTTCTGGAACTTGCTATGTGTTCCAGGCTGGCATTGAACTCACAGAGTTCCACGTGCCTCTGCCTGCTGGGCGCTGGGATCAAAGGTGTGTGCCTCCATGCCTGACTCTCTTAAAAAAAAAAAAAAAATGTAAACCATGGTCCATTCAAAATTTAACTCCTTGTCTCTTCTCATAAAGCTGCTCCACCACCACTACTCCAGTTCGGCACGAGAACTCTGGTCTTTCTGGTTGCTTAGATCAAAAACCTTGGAATCACTCTGAGCTCCCATATCCCATCTGCCTTGAGAGCTCATTGGTTCTATTCTTGAAATACAACCAGAACCCAGCTATTTCTTCTCTACCTCTACTGCCACCAACTGATCAAAGTCTTCCTTGCAACAGCCTAGGATTGCTGTCTCTCCTAGACCTCCCTGACTATAAGCCCCTACAGGTGATTGCCAAAGTGCTAGAGAAGTCATGGGGCGTGGATCATGAGCTGGCTTAATGTCCATGTGTTAGCCAAGGAGGGCTGTTGCTGGGTAACATAAGTGGCTTCTGGGTATCTCTCTGGACTACCCTGGAACGGCTGAGACTCCCCTGATGTTACCGCACGCAAAAGAGACCACTTACTTTGGGGGGTTCTGTGTGCTGTGGGTTTCCTCAGACTATGGGGTTTTGACCAAGCTAAGTCCTCACTGACGAGGCTTATCGTGTGGGTGGGCCTGTTGTGGGTTTTCCTCTCCGCCCAGTGCTCATAGGAGCCCGAAAATAAATAGAGATCCCTACTAGGGTGTTTGTGAAGCTCTGTACTCTCCTGGCCTCTGTTTCTAGGAAACTAGCATCCGTGGGAGTATTCATTCACATAGGCGTGTGCACAAGTAGGTTCACTTGTCTCCAATTCCAAAGGCTCCTTCCCATTGGCTGGGGAATTCTCCTAGGAACTGCTTTTGTCTAACAGACTTGCCTAACGCATCCCCCAGGTCACGTGGCCAGGAGGGCTCCCAGGGCCCAGAATGTGACAGCAGGACCTCATCTTTTGACCACACAGGTTGCTAACTCTCAGCTGGTGTTACTGACAGCCTTGAATGGCACGCATTGCTCTCCCTGGCTTCAGAGAACCTGCTAATTGTGGACCTTCTTGCTGTTTGCCGCTGGACAGGGAAGGTTAACTTCTTTTATATCCTGAAGCCTTGAGTTTGCTGGGTGGGCCTGGCCTCTTTAAGCTCACCCGATTTTTCTGTAGTTCTCAGTGCTTGTATAGCTTTATTTTAATCGGGAGAGAGGGAAGTTTCCAGCCACCGACCTGTCATTTTGGATTTAGAGATACTGAAGCTATAAAGGCCCTGGGAGGACAGGGGTACGGAATAACTAAATGGTTAGCTGTGGTTAGACATGGTGAGCCCCAGGATCCCTTCCAGCCCTACCCTTTTCAAGTCATTTTAGCCACGGCATCTTTTCCCAGCTGCTGGCTTATCAGCAAGCCAGTCACGTGCAGTTCTGCCTCACTTCCTTAGCCAGGAAGAACAGGCTGACCTGGATTCCCGAGATGTGGTGGATTTTATATAGCCCCACCAACTGATCATCTAAAGAAAAGCGTTAGCTATTAAGTACAAAAGAAAACTCACTGACCATCCTGGCATCCAGACTCTCCTTTAGCTGATGGCCTCAGTGTCCTATGCTTTGCTTAGCCTCTCATTAATAGTCATTCTGTGTCAAACACTAAGTCCTGAATATGAACCCATCAAAGTATTAAGAAAAGGAGATGGCAAAGCAAATGAAAGGGGAGTCTCTGCCCTCAGCTTACGAGGCCACGTCCTTGAGTTTTAACTTTTTCACTAGAAAGATACTTTTCTTATTCCTCTTTCAAGATAGAATAAGAATTTAGTTTAATACTGACAGTTCTTTTCTCAATGTTCAGGGCTGTTTAACACACACACACACGGGAATATATAGATTTAAAAAAAATTTAATTCTGTTTATTTATGTGTATTGGCCTTTGTGTACCATGGCATGCATATAGAGGTCAGAAGACAGCTCACAGGAGTTGATCCTCTCCTTCCACTGTGTGGGTCCTGGGGATTGAACTCAGAGAGTACTGCTTGGTGGCAAGTGCCATTACCTGCTGGGTCATCCTCACGGCCCATACAATATATGCTGTATAAATTCAGTA